GGGCGCAGACCCGGGGCACCGGCACCCTCCTGCCCCCGGGGTGCCGACGAGGGCTGCAAAGGGATGACTGGGGGCTCCCCAGCAGCCCTGACCACAGAGCCGCCCCTGCGCCCCGGGACGGGGGCATGGCCCGAGGAGAGATGAAGGCAGGCTTCCTGGCAGCCCCTCCTGCCATCCTGGCGCCCTTCTGTGCGGGGCGGATATTGGCAAAGGGATGAGCAGAGGCTCCCAGCAGGGCTGACTCTTCCAGCTGCCCCGGTGCCTTCCTGCACCCCGGGGTGCCTGTCCCTGGGGCTCCCCTGGGAGGTCTCTGCTGGCCTCTGTCTGGTCCAGGAGTTCTCCTGGGCTGAGTGTGTTCACCCAGGCTAGTGCACGTGTGGGTGGCTGGGCAGGCCAGTTACTCCTCCGGTTACTGGTCAGGTTTCCTTGTCTAGGATGGCTGCAGGATGCTTTTTGTCTTGCATATCTTTTATTTGCCTGCCAAATCCCCAGCTGATAGTCACGTGCAGCTAGAAGTGTCAGTGTCTTCTCATAAGCAGGGATTTCACTGGTTGGACACCTCCCCCTGGTCCTTACATGTGAATTTAAAGCTTGTCTCAGGGAGAGCTGCTATATGAAAACCAGCACAACATGATGGGGTTGCACTGAGGCCTCCAGCGCACTGCAGCACCATCTTCCCCTGGGCAGGGGTGGCTTGGTAAATGTCACTGGTGTAGGGATGGGGTCTGGCAGACATGCCCCTCGTGCTCCCTGCATACAGATTAGTGATTTGCTTTCTATGAGTTCCGGTGGGATGGCTGCAGGGAGCAGTGCAGCCTGGTGTGGGTGTGATGGGAGCTGGAGCTCCAGCCTGTGACCCCCCCTTCGCAGGGGTTGCTGCAGAACCAGGCAGTCACGCACCTCCCTTGTTAACCACTCATTTTGTTGGGTAGTCCTGCTCCATGGTTTGTCATCACCCGAAGCTGACTGCCTGTTCCTCTCTGGTCCCTCTCAGCTAGGCACATTCAAGACTGACGATGGTGACTATTTCGTAGAGCCGTTGCTATCGCTTGAAGAACAGGAGTACGAAGAAGAGCACAATAAACCACATCTAGTCTACCGACACCGGACGCCTCCAACCAACTCTTCAGGGGACAGGCAGACTTGCGATACTCCAGGTACTCGTTTTGTTACTGCCCTTGATGGCTTGGCACTTATGAAAGGGAACTAATTTGCAGTAAAAAGCCAGTAGGTTTGTGTGGGGCAGAAGGGATGTGGAGTCGAGCAGCCCCTCTAGAAACGGTACCATGTGCGCTAGGACCAGGCTCACAGTGGTACTCCTGTCCTGAAGAGATGTGCGCCTGTGCTTTCTAGTAATGGGTCATAAGGAAGTTGTGGTCAGGAAAAATCTTACGGTTTCCGTTTCATCCCTGCTGTAAGGCTGGCAAGAGATCCTTTGGGCTGTCTTGCCTTAAATATCCCACGAGCCTTTAAACTTGCTTTCTGTCCTCTCCTACGTGTAATTCCTGACCATCCTAATCTGATTTGCTCTCTGTATGAAATTTGATTTCTGTCTCAGTCTTGCTGCACTCCTGATCTTCCCTCCTCAAATCTGGTTGTGAGTTGCAATGTCTAATTTCTTTCTAGTGAAAATGAGAGGGTCCTAACACCAACCCCTTCCCTTATTCATCACTTTTCCATGGTTCCATTTTTAAAGACTTTTTTTTTTTTTTCCTCTCATGGCCCTTCCTCCTCCAGCACCATCTCCCTGACCTCTTTGCTCCCTCTTTCTAGTCTTTGCACATATGAAAGAGCACAAGCTTTTTTATCTCCCCTTCATGTGCCTTGGTGAGCAATAGCCTTGCTCCTACTGTCCCTATTATCTGCAGTGGCTTCCTGCTGCTCTCTGCTTCGTTGACTTCCTGATTTTCACAACTAATCCTCTCCTTTGGCAGCAAATACCTAAGTTGTCTCTGAAAAAGCTTATTCCTTCGGTCTCCTGTTTCACCTGCTGTTTTGCCCTACTCCATTGGCCTGCAGCTAGATCTACAGGAGCTTTAAAGCCTAAACAGAGTAGACCTTGACTGGCTTCCCTTGCGTGGGCTGCAGGCCGCTCACGTGCTGCAAAGTAGGTGGAGCTGCTCGGGGAGCAAAGGCACCGCTGGAGGAGAAGCGTGGTGCCAAACTTAGGCTGTATTTAGCATGCGTGACTCGTTTGGCACCCGTGACTATGGATCGCAGCCATGCTGTTGAGCTGTCGTTCTGTTCAGCTTGCACTGATCACACTAAGTCGGAAGATGCTCTGGTGCTCTGTGACCAGCCAGAGCTGATGCACTAGCAACATGTGTTTTCTCTAGAAGATATGTGGGTACATGTCCGTATGCAAGCATATGTGCTGGGGAACAATGGTACCTCTCACAAGGCTGTCATTGTTTGTTCTTCCAAGGGTTGCTGCTGGACTATGCCATTCTGGTTTCTCTCTTCCAGCTGTTTCTGCTCCCTTCTTTGAGATCAGATGCAGGAGACTCAGAACAGTTGGAAAGAAACACGGAATCTGGCACATTGCATCAGTAGCCCTTGGAGGAACGGAGCAGCAGATCACAGGACTCATTGAATTGAAGGTAGCTGGGAGGGCTCTGACTTTCGCTTGTGGACTTTACTCTGTGCCATTATAACGGTCTGTTGTATTTCACCCCGCTATATCGTATCTTCTATTTAGGGTATTATTCTTCTAGATCGTGATTCACAAGAATAATACTCCATCCACGATGTTATCTATGTGGTGTATATCTCAGTCTCCTCTTTTCTAACATGCTTTGCTTCTTGCTTGTCTTTGTTTCTTTGCATTTCTCGGTTACTTTGTGTAGTGGAGGGAGGATGTCTTGCCTCTCAAATGCAGCCTTAAGGGTTCCAGATAGGTGTGACAGTCTTATTTATCCTCCTGTCCTCTTTC